GAGAGAGAGAGAGAGAGAGAGAGAGACTGACCAAGAACTTGAATGATCAAGTCGCAGAGCGATAGAAAAGGCTTGGCGGGGATATGGGCAACACTCTGATCATCGCCACCAGGTATAACTTTGACCACCACCATGGATAGCTCTTCAATGGCAGACCTTATCTCTGAACCACTCTCCATTTCTCTTCGCCTCTTCATTTCAACCTCTATTTATTTTACCTCCACCTTGATTCTTGCTGTCTCTAAGTTCTTAAATATTGTACAGTTGACTACAGAGAGAAAGAGAGAGAGAGAGAGAATGCAATAGCAATAATGGCCGTTTCACATTAAAAGATGCAATGGCTTCCTTTTGTTACTTAAAAATATTTCTAGGCGAAAACTGCTGTATAGTTTTATTTAAATAGTTTTTATCTTATTTTATTATACGTATATGATTGTGACCTTGTATTTGACCTTGAAGTTATCACTTACCCTTCTGTATTATTTGTATTTAATTAATAATAATCTTTCATATATACGTAATGTGGGACCAAATATATATGATAGCTTGAAAGATGTCAACCTTCTAAACCATGCTTGTGGATTAGATTTTGCAATCTAGGATTTAAGAATGGGCAATGCTATAGCCTGGATCATGGAATCTTTACTTCTTGTCAACCAACCCAACTCCCTCTCAATACAATTTTTTTTTTCTTTTTTTGGGAATAGTACGTCACCTACCATGCATTAATAAGAGTAATTATAGAATGTAACAATTCTGATAAAAAAAAAAAAGAATAATGTTATTTAGAGCTAAATATTTGATTTAATTTGTTGACATAATGATGTAATTGCATAAAAATCATTGGATCAGCACCAAATTCCAATATTTAATGGGGCCTACAGTCAATCTATAGATCACAGGGAATTATGTTAGTAAATTATGTCACAATAACATTGCTTAAAAAAAATTATAATAATGATATCACGACATCATCAATTGTATTATTATCCAATAAAAATTTATAAAAAAGTAAAATGAACTTAATGTTTTTATGCGGAGTAGTTATTATCTTATCTGAATAGGGTAATTACTATATAAATTTTGTGGGGTGCACCTATCTACATATGCACATATTAGTGACTGTTACATTGAATATTCTAACTTGAATTCACAATAATTGAAAAATATATAATAAAGGGAATACATTATACAAATCGTTTGGGAAAAAAGAGGAATAAAACTCTAGAAATTACTGTGGTAGCATTCGTCGTAGCTCTGAAAATTGTTGTAAATAGATTTGGCCTTTATGGTTAATTATGTTCTTTACAATGTACGACCATGTTCATGAAATGAAATAATAGTCAACCAACCACATTCCCCGGACTACACTGTCAAAAAGACTTGGTGGTAATGCTTCTAAAGAGAGAAGAGCAATTATTCCGTGCAAGCATTAAAATTTTGTTTTTAAACGGTTGAAACGTTTTTGTTTTTAAGGAAGTCGAAATCAAAAGATAAAGAAATCAAAATTTCAATGCTTCTAAGCGTTTCAAAATGTTTCGAGCTATTTTGACATGTTTCTACTTTTGTTTATGAAGGTTTTAAAGTGTTTCAAGATGTTTCAGTATATTTAAACAATATTTCAGAATGCTTGTAAATAAATTTTCGTATTATTTTTATTTTTGAAACGTTGACAAAACATCTCCATTCTTTGAGGTAAAAATTACAACTGAAAAAGTGACGGAAGTTATTACTTTTAAAAGTAAAGTTACTATTTTGTGAGATCAAATTATTAAAGGTGAAATTACAACTAATCATAGAGTATTCATGATCGATAATAATATTTCATGATTGATCATGAAATATCTCAATCATATAACTTTACTTTTAAAAAATATAATTTAACCCTAAAAAATAGTAACTTCGATACAATTTGTTTCTTTTTCAATACCACATAATTACCNCATGGCGGTTTTCAATAAAACAGAGGGAGTTCCCTAAGTACAGATCTATTTGTATTTTGTACATTAACAGGAGGAAACATATAAGTATTAATATGTACATAGAAGAAAAGAGGATTATACAAAACTGAACTGTATACTGTTGTTTTAGTCTCTTATNAGCACAAAAAAAAAAATAATGATTATTTTAGAATATAATTTAAATATTTAATACATTTTAATTATTGAATTAATAGTGAATGCTAAGTTTAAACAAAAATTACTATTTATCTAATGTACTTAATCCTCAAATTAAGTGCAACTAGCATTATTGTAAAATTTTTAGAAGCTCTTTTAAAAAAATTAAGGGCCCTAAAGTTCTGCTTATTTTTTTATCTCACCCGATATTTATATTATATGTATTATCACTTTGCAGTCTTCTTATTAAAATCAATTGTCTATCGTATAATTGGTACGCATAATAATATTATATTTGTATAAGTTAATTTTGAAGTCATTTTTTAACAATTTTAGTTACGATACACAAGATGACTATGAAATAGAGTAAGTAGAAATAATACACTAGCTATCTTAGATTGATTAACCATAGTTGTCTTACTAAAATTTTTTATTTAAAAATTACTTTTTTTCTCTATGATATCTAACAATATCTCATTTATTTTAGGACTACTCAACTTGTATAAATTCTTATTTTATATACATTTATAAAAAAATTATTTTACTAGTCAACCTAATTTTCAATTATGTTTCTCTTTTATCTTAAACAAATAGTATGTATTATTGTATTTGATCTCTGTATTTGACTTCGATTAACACAATTTTTATTTGTAAAATTTGAATTAGTATGTTATATCTCAAAAGACAAAACAAATAATTTGTAAATAAACATATGTTAATAAGTTTTTCATATTACTATTATTACTGAATAAATATTTATACGGCTTCGTATAACATTTTCGCCTAGGGCCCAAATTAGCTTGGGCCACCCTGATTTGAATGCACCCTAAAGTCTCCTAGAGTTATTCTCCCAAGATAATTATTAAGAATTCCGATGGATTATGTTTGGAAAAAATAATATATTCTCATGATCGGAAGATCTAGGTGACAATCTGGCCTTTTAGCTGTTCAAATGACAGGGCATGCACACCTAAACATATTGTGCTAAATTGTGGTAGCTGCTTAATTAATCAAATAAAATCATTTTTCATGGGAATCAAAACTATTTTTAAGAGAGCGTTTGAAATGATTTTTAAAAAATATTTTTAAAACTTTTGATTTTTCATAAGTATTTTTTTAAAAAATAATATTTAAAACTTTTTCTTTTAATTACTTCCTAATAACTCAAAAACAGTTTTACTACTTAAAGTAAGAAAAAAAATAACTTTTATTTTTTTAAAAATTACTTTTTAACAAAACACTTTTCATTCTTATATTTATTTACATTACCACCATCATCCCACCACCACTGCCGCCCACGCCGACCACCACTTAATATATGTTTTAGAGATATATTAAAAATTGAGATATAAATAAATATTTTTTAATTGATAATTTAAACGCACTTTTTATAAATAAAGTACTTTCTATTTGAGTGATTTTTTGCTTGAGCGTCTAAATGATGTTTATTTAATGAAAGTATTTTTTATAAAATACTTTTAAAAATATTTATTTAAAAAATAATTTTTAAATTTTATAAGTTATCACAAACTCAACCTTCATTTTTAAAATTTTATAATAATGGGTGGTCCCTTTAGCTGAAAGTTGAAGCTTCCATTGGTAGTTTTTGTTAAACCCTGCCTGACAGCGTGTATCAGATATATTATTTGTTTTTAACCTTCAAATTATTCTGCTGATGATAATGACAATTGCTTATCCTTAGTTTTTAATTGTGTATTCTTTTGGATAAACATGGATCCAACACCAAATAGATCATTGGTCGAATATTAGTACTTGCATCATCATGTTGAAAAAATGTAGCAGCTTTTTCTATTTAAAAAGATTTATTTAGACTAATTCAAAAAATTAATTTTATAAATTTTTCTTTTAATTTTTTGGAGTTTTGTTGTTGATTTTACATAACTTTTTAGTTTATTATATTCATAAATTATTATTAGTGACTTAAAAAAAATTAAAATTCATATTTTGGGAACTATTATACATAATCTATACATATATGTAATTATTTTATTATTTTAACACAAGAAAGGGAAGAAAAAAAGCTAGAAAATATTCTAAACAAATTTTTTCAATTTTTTAAAGAACATCCCAAACAGTTTTGGTATGCTTTTAATTCTGATATTTTACGACGTTGTTCAAATCACAACTTTTCACCTAAAAAAAATTAGTTAGGCCATTGTCATTTTCCGAAAGCCTGTCCTATGTAATAAAAGAAATTACTACCTAGATTTTTTTTTTCCTCATCTACTCTTGTGGGTAATCACTGATCTGACGCTAAAAAGAATTATTGTTTCAAAGTTTGCATTTTGCATCACCTCAACTCATACAAAGTAAGGTCTACAAGCCACTAGACCAAAAATCTAATTATTCTTCACACTTGCAAACGAAGGATTTACGGACATAATGAAAATTATTATGCTACGTGCACACTTTTTAGAAAAATATAAATAAAAGGAAAAAATAAATTCGGGGAGACAACTCATTTCAAGGAAAGTAGAAACTTCCGATGTTTTAATTTCAGAAGAACCTAATCTCCATAACTTCCATAAAAAAATTCAATACAATATCCAATATACATTTTTATTCATAGAAAAACCTTTAAATACAAGATAATAAAAATTACCTTAATAACTAACATAACCCATGTCTTCACTATTTAATTAACCTCCTACAAAACTATACTCTAATATTTTATCACTACCCACTTATTAAAATAATTTCTTAATAACTACCTCTAATACTATGTAAAAATATATTAAAAATGAGTACATAACATATTACCACCGTGTTCGCATAATCGGCATGAAGAGTTCTCATATATATAATATACTAAGGAAAACTTATGCTCGAAGGTAAGATACAATATGAATAATTTTGAGAAGGATGTTAATGACTGTTAAATAAATTTGTTTGAGACTGTCACAGGGGCTTATTGAAGTTTATCCTCCTTTATATTATAAATGTAGATTTGATACACACCATTGGAAGATAATGTTTGTTAGAATGTTGTGAAAATTCTTGCAAATTAGCATCCACGCTAATTTGATGACCAAAACTATTGT